GATTGGCCACTTGACAAGGTCCTATCGTAATTTGGGCAAAGAACAAGACATTCCAATATGTCACTTGTGTTTGGCAGGGAATGAGCACATTCCTTTCGAAAGTGTCGAAGACACGCCTCCTTGGAAAGACACTTTTTGTGTTTCAGATCCGTGGCCGGAGGACAACCCGCCAACCCTCAGCAACATACCGTTCGACCCATTGTGTCGGCCGGCCATGTTTCGCTTAGACGTTTTTCACCTGTGGAAGGTGGGTCTCGGCCGAGACCTCGTCGGAAGTGGGGTGGTCGTTCTGTGCCTTTTAGGGTACTTTGACTTTGGTGATGGATGTACCCAAAACATAGACGACCGGCTCGAACGAGCTCACTCCTGCTTCCGTCTTTGGTGCCTAGGAGCCAACAAGACGGCGGCCCTTCGGTCCTTTACCAAGTTGAACTTCAACTGCAAAACGCTGGCTTACTTCCCTTGGGCCAATGTCAAAGGATCCGATTGCACTCTACTTTCACAGTGGTTGCTGTTTTTCCTTCGTGCCCAGGTGAAGCCAAACCCGACACATAAACGGTTGTTCAGAGCACTGGGTGATACTCTGCAAGCCTCCATCACCTTTTTCCAGATTCTACATAGTCACAAGGTTTGGCTTCCCCGGCACTGTGCTCAGCGGGCCCAGCATGCATTGTCGACGATGATCCGAGGTTATATGTATTGTGCAGTACAAACCAAGGCAATGCAAATCAGAGCCTTCGGCCTGAAGCCCAAATTCCATTCTCTACATCATGTCAGCTTGGAAATGCTGCAGTCTTTAAGGGGCGGTGCCGAGTGGGTTCTTTCGCCAATGGTATTTTCATGTGAGAGCAACGAAGACATGGTTGGCAAAATTTCCCGCTTAGCCCGCAGAGTTTCCGCACGCCTGGTCAACAAACGTGTTTTTGATAGGCTCATGTTTAAAACCAAGGCGCTTTTGGCCAGGCACGGTTTCTCGAAGAAGAAGCCGAAGAAGCAGCGGCGGCCATTGGGCCGAGGGCTTTGAGTCGGAGCTGTAAAGCTTAAGGTTCAGAGTTGCTTTCTAGCAGTCTCAAGTTTCAAAAACCCTAAACCCTAAACCCTAAACCCCTAAACCCTAAACTTCCATAATTCTTGTGTATACTCCGAAGTGCAGAGCCTGAACCTTATGCAAGCTTCGGCTAGAGTCCTCAAGCTTCGGCCAAAGCATGAAGAGCTTGCACTACTCCAAAGACGCCCGGCTTTCTAGCCTAAACCCTAACTTCGGCGGCACTTGGCCTTCTAGTCTCAGTCCTATAGCTTAACTTCGGACGTTTAGGTTAGGGATTCCAGCCCAAACCGCAGCAACCCTAGCAAGCTCAAAGCCGCTTTGGAGATCGCTAGAGTGAGGGGTGATCCACAATACCACACGATCACGTTGCAGCAGCGAGTTGCAAAAAGTGATTTGGGCTGAAGTATTCTTATGCATGCCATATTGGGCTGATCTGTTTCTTGTCGCCAATAGTTTTCGGGTTGGAACAAGTGGCCTGAAATAGTGCAGACCCCGATGGTCTAGGTATATATATATATATATACATACATATGTATGTATCATGTTAAGACAGTAGTAAGAGAATTAATGGCATGATGCTTAGTTTTATTATGCTGTATGTGCAGTCCACGTCCACTCAGTAGGCTTTAACTCTAAGTGAGATGCATAAACATACTTTTCGACTGGGGGCGCTCTTTCGGGGACGCATACCTCACTCTTGACCGTCCGCAAGCCTCCACCTGCGCCCTTCCGCCCCACTCACACAGATCCCATTCCTCGTGACAGTGAGTGTCACCCCGATGGCGATGCAAGAATGCCAGTCGTCGTCGGGATTGGACTTATCGCTGTCACGCCCTTGAGACTCTCGCACGTTTTCAACATTCGGGGCAACTTCTCGTCGCAAACAGTATAGTGTTTTGGCCGGGAAGCTTGCGGACACGGTTCACACCGGAACAGAACCCACAACACAAACCACGGGTGGGGGTGGACGGGGCGAAGGCTGTCAATGATTCACGTAACAGGCATTGCTTCTGCACACGGAGAACCGCACGAAACCGAAGCCTATTCCACGGGCCGGGCACCATCCGCAAGGGACAAAGGTCAACACCGCCTCTAGTGTAGCAACAATCATACACTGTGGTTGGCAATGCTACGATCAAGGAGCTGCGACCATACTTTTGTGCAACGCATTGTCCTCCGAGTTGCTCAGCTGCCACAGCGAGTGGGTTGGAGTTCGACTGTAGTTACAACACGCACGGCATGCGACAAGACAATCACGATTGCAGCTTCTGCTCGGCCGCATGTCAGAGCAAACGCAACATATAGAGGCCTTACCAGTGGAAAGAGGGCCGGTGTTCTTGCCTACCCACTACAGGCACCATCCTGCAACGGATTTGGGAGGAGACGAAGAAACCACAGAATCCAGCCGCCACGGGGGCGGGGTGGAGAGGCTCTGCATCACGCGCACACACAGATACAAATACATGTGTGCGCAAGTATATATATATATATATACACAAATATGTGTATATAGATAGTTAAACAAAAATAAATAAATAAATACATATGTATATGTATATATATATATATGTACATGTATATGGTATATGTGCACATTTGGTAGCTCACAGTGTGCTTATGTGTCCTCCTCTGGTGCATGCGCTTCCACATATACTTGTCGAGGCTTCATATATCTTGATCGTATAAGAACAAACTTGTTTGCGGCATGTGCTTACCGCCACGGACATGCATGCATGCACATCATGTCATTCTAAGACTATGTGCGCTTGCTAAACTGGAGCATCATGAGCTTGATGCTCCACCGACCTTCATCAGAGCATCAAGCCCTAAACCGTAAACCCTCGCCACTGCCTTAGGGACGAAATGATCCCTAAAAGGGTTTCAGGTTCATATGAAATATAGGGAGTCATAGTATAAGGGTATAGGGCCCGTTACTTATAAGGGTCATTTTGGTCCCCAAGGTGGTCACTACTGTAGTGTGTCCATTGAGGCATGATCATCCAAGATGCCAAAGCCCGCTGGGGTGGGGCCATTCGCAGCTTCTGCATCTCGGAAGACAGGAATGAGGGGAAAGCATCACTCCGAAAAGCAGCCTGAACCCGAAACTCCAAATCCTATACCCTGACCCCTTTTAACTCGAAGTTCCAAGCCCTAAACCCCATGAACCCGAAACTCCAAACCCTAAACCCTGAATCCTAAACCCTTTTAGCCCGAAGCTCCAGAGACCTACAGCCAAAACCCAGGGTTTGGGCAGAAAGCGGGGAGCATCACAGTCCGGCGATGCCACTCCGCCTCTCGAATGCAGCGAGGAGACCCTGGGCGTCCGCAAGCCACAACCCAAACTCTATGGTTGTTTGGGGGTTTAGAAGTTCAGGGTTTAGGGGTTTTAGAGGTTTAGGGTTTATAGGGGTTTAGGGTTTAGGGTTTAGGGTTTTAGGTTCAGGGGTTTAGGGTGTAGGTGTTTAGGGTTCAGGATTTCAGGTTCAGAGTTAGAGGGTAGAAGTCCCAGACCCAGGTCCCAGAAGAAAGCGCGACTGAGAGCGTTTCTGTTTAGGGTTTAGGGCTTTAGGGGTTTAGGGTTTAGGGTTAAGTACCTACATGGTGTAAGGTAGGGTTTCTATAGTAGGAATTGCACCCTAAACCATAAAATCCTAAACCCTAAACCCTCCTGTTTTGAGTAAGTATCCCCCATATCAGGTACTTAGGAGTAAAATGATTGCACGAGCTGGTGCATGCCACCATGTTAAGCCTGATGGGGTTTGGGGCTTCGGGGGTTTAGGGTTTCAAGATGTAGGGTTTCAGGGTTTAGGGTTTACCTTAGGAACCCAAAACCCACTTTTTTGTAGGTTTTTATTATAAACCCTAATATGGGATTTATAGGGGACCCTACAAAAAAGTAGGTTTGGGGCTCTTAAGGTAAACCCTAAACCCTATATAAACCTATATAAACCCTAAACCCATATATACCTAAAGGATGTAGGGTTTAGGGTTTAGGGGTTATGGACCTCGTTCCGCAAGCATTTCTCACGCAGAGCTTTCCAAGGATGTCCCAGACCGAGCACCTGGAATGGGAGGCGCCCGTCGGGAGGGTTTAGGGTTTAGGGTTTAGGGTTTTTAGGGTTTAGGGTTTTAGGGTTTAGGGTTTAGGGTTTAGGGTTTAGGGTTTAGGGTTTAGGGTTTAGGGTTTAGGGTTTAGGGTTTAGGGTTTGGTTAGTATTCTACGCGTCGAAAGGGGGAGAGAAGCAAAGTTGACGGAATATTGAGCAAGCTAGACGACGATATGTTTCTCCCTTGGTGTTCCCCACATCTCCCAACCCTAAACCCTAAACCCAGATCGTGGCCATATCCCAAAGCTCCAGGAACTCAGCTCGTCTTTCGGGCCCTGCGTTCACAAGCCTCCCCTAAACCCTAAACCCTAAACCCTAAACCCTAAACCCTAAACCCGAACCTCCCAGAAGCCCTCGGTTCCCTGAACCCCAAAGCTCTAAGCCCCAAAATTCGTAGAAACGACTTCAACCTCCCAAGCTCAAAGCCCGAACACGGTTTAGGGTTTAGGGTTTAGGCCCTAAACCCTAAACCCTAAACCCTAAAAGGGTTTAGGGGTCCCATGCTTGTGATGCCAGGCGGCCTAAACCTACTAGGTGGCTTGTTCCAGGGCCAAGACGGTGCAGCTTGGCTGAGCACTGTCATGCCTGTTTCCTTGGGTTTAGGGTTTAGGGTTTTAGGGTGCTGAGAGCTGGAGCTTCGTGTTATGCCTGTTCCAAGCCGAAAGCCTGCTTTTCCAGAAGTCTCCAGAAGTTTTAATTTCTAATCTTTTCCTAACCCCCAAGAGTTACTATATAGGGCCCTAGGGGCTCTAGTACCCTATATAGAGTTAGAACATACCTTGCCCAGTTTATACATTATTATTATTATTATCCAGACTTAGCAGAAGCAAGCAAACTTGAAATAAAACAAAATTATGGAAAATTCATTGAATACATAGATGATTATCAGTTTAAATATGTTATGGATTTAGAAGAGATGTGGAATGATAGACGTAAAGAGGGTGGTATTGACTTCTGGATTAATGAAGATTTATATGATGATTGTGGAGGAATTTGTTATGAAATTGAAGAACTTGATAGATATGCTTTTCTCAAATAGTAATATAATAGATAATGATTAAGTTATTCAATGAAAAAGTTGATAGAAAAATACGTATTAAAGTTTGGAATTTGGCTAATAAACTAACAAAAGATTTATTAATACTCTATTTTAGTTTTTTTTTATAACGGGCGTGAAATAGTAAAGGTTAAAACAGCGACAGAAGAATTCATAAACGAATTAGGAATAATATAAAATAGTATATATGGGTTCTAAATCATCTAATCATGTGCTTCCCAACATATGAAACAAATAAAAGAACTTGATATAGAAGAGAAAACAAGAACTGATACTTTATTATTTAATACTTTAAAAGACGTTATTGAGAGAGTAGAAAAAATTCAAGATACAAAAAGCGATAAAATATATTGTAAACTGCCGAATATGACATTGTGCAATTATTCATTCATATGATTAATAATATTATAAATACATAATATTATTCATCTTCATCAGTATCTATATTGAAATTGTTTCAAAGTTTATATAAAACATCTTGTTAACATCTTTCGCATTCGTATTTATGTAGAAGAACGAGTAAGGTGCATAATTTACTGCTTGTTGATACATCTCATACAGCGTTTTCTTATCAACTAACGTGCTGTTTTCTTCTAGGAAACTATTAACTTCGTTCATGTTCTTCAACCTGAACATAAACAAAGCGCTAGCATTAAGCCTAATAATTGGGGCTAATACATTGTATTTCTGAGTTGATAATATGCATGATATGGCATTATGTCTTCCACGAGTAAATAAACCATGTAGAATATTTGAGTATCTTACGAATTTGGGGTCGTCTGCGAAATCGCAACAACAATTAATATACTGAATAAGTCCTTTTGTTTATTCTTCTTTTGGAAATAAATGACCTGGTGCTGTGTCTCTATTAACTTCTTCAATGCTAAAGGGTCATATTCTTCATAATAAATAATTTCTTTTTCTGTGTCAACCTTCATCACATCGGTTATATATTTCTTAACTGGCGTCCATGTGTCATCAACATGAACACTTGGAGAAAAAGTATATATTCTTTCAAAAGAACCACGGCATATTTTCAATATTCGATTTTGAATGAGAACAGTCTTACCACCTATTGAAGAGGCAACGCATAACATTCGCGCGGGTAGCTTCGGCATCATATCATATTTACTAGTCTTATACCTATAATCGGGTATGTCTATCGGTTCTACTTTAGGTATTTCATCGCTCATTACTTAATATGGGGAAAAATAGTAATATCTAGTTTATTTTGACAGGCCATCTTGGTATAAAAGTCCCCAAACAATAAAACAGAAGAAGGAATTGAACCCAATTGTCCCCGTGTGCCTAGCAGGTTCTACAGGTTCATAGACAAACCATAAGAGTTTGACAATGACATTAATTAAGAATTAGTTTCGTTAAATCTTAAGGAACCAGGTGTGTATAGTGCATATTTTCATAATAACGCATTATGAAAATGTTAATAAACAATATTGCCAGTAATAGTAGATAAAATATCAGTTGATTTTAATCCTTATACTGAAATTATGGAAACAGGTAATAATTTTAATAGGAAGTGCTATCGTTGTAAGCAAGTTAAAAACACTGATTGTTTTAAGCGTTGCTATTACTCCTCTAAGAGTTCTAAATATAGTTTTAAATACAAGGCTACTTGTTCTGAATGTTTAGATAAAAAAAACAGTTTAAAGGGATAGTGTTATTAATATTATTAAGATGGAGAAAATCAAATGCACAAGATGCCACAGTAAAAAGACTGCCGAAGAGTCCGGGTTCAATAGATTGGGGCAACCTTGGCACAATTGTATTAGATGCAGAGAAAAGAGAAAGGAATACAAGAAAACTAAGATTGTGGATAAGAAGCCTGAAGTTGATGAGGTTTTTGATCACGTGTGGCAGTTGTTAATGAAGGATCTGTTTTTGGAGAACTACTTTATGATGTTTGGAAAGCACAAAGATACAGTAATTATTGAGATACCTGTTGATGACAAACCAGAACAAACAAACTAGTTATCCTATACAGTGGTACTATACTGTAAATATAAAACACAAGCAGTTATGTATTATAATTACATTAGAGTTATAACATGATCGGTGAATCCGAAAAGATTAATCTTTGATACAACCCTTAACCCTAAACCCAGAACCTAAATTCTATAAGGGACCCTTTGCCCAGTTTGGCTAATAATACCACCTTAGAGAATATGGATGGGGTAATTGGTTATTCCTATACTGGTCTTGGTAATGGGGAAGTAGTGGTGATATTTGAGGGAAGTGTTAGGGAGTATAGGAATAACCCTCTTATATGGATGAGGTAATCGGTTATTCCTATACTGGTATTGGTAATGGGGATGTAGTGGTGATAT